TCATTAGCATAACTCATTAGCATAACTTATTTGCATATGCCACGCCCCCTGACATCACCGGAAGTGACAGAAGGCCACACCCCCTGACATCACCGGAAGTGTGTCAGAAGGCCCGGCTACTTACCCTCCTGCTTCATCCTCATTCCCAAACGGAATGAGGATCGAAGCAGAGGGCGGGGTAAAGAAGGGGGCAGGGCTTCACCACGTGACCGCCCCGCCCCCTAGAGGTTCTCTTCCGGAGCTCCGTACCTGAGAGCTCCCCCCCGACTAGAGCCCTGCTTGTTATACATTTTCGTTATATATTAGATCAGAGGTCATTTCGGGGGGGATCGCAGTTCCCCCGGGTGAGGTACGGGGGGGCACATGACGAAGCCCCGCCCCCTGCTTCCAGCCCTCATTCAGCCAGGAGGAGGCAGGAGAAGAGGGAGAGTAAGTTGCTTCCTCCCTGCCTCTCCGCACCCCTGCCTGCCTGGGGCCAGGGAGGGCCTTCGTGGGGCTTCCTCGCACTCCCGCCGGCCTTGCAGGTCCACCGCCGGGCCCCTCATGGGGCTCGTCAGTGGAGCTGCAAGGCCAGCGGTGGGGCCGGGACCATTGGGGGCGGGGTGTGTGGCCTTGTGACACACTTCCGGTGATGTCAGGGGGTGTGGCCTTATGACACACTTCCGGTGATGTCAGGGGGTGTGGCATATGCTAATGAGTTATGCTAATGAGTTCCCCTAGCTCTTTTTCTACAAAACGACCCCTGTATTAGATGTTTTCTTTGACTGTATAGTTTTGGAAATTCTTGATTAGGATGTATTCGTTTGTACCGTATTGCATGTTAAAAAGTTCCCTTGGAACCGGCGAACCAGGAAACTCCCGAATGGACCTGTCCATCTCCTGTACCTCCAGAGTATCCTCTGGGACCCAGGAATTGGGGAAGGAAGAGGGCCAGAGCTAAGGTTGCCTCTGGAGAGGGTGGACACGGGGGCACCGTAGGCGATCGCAGACAGGGAAAACCAAAATGACATCACAGCTCTCTAGGAATCGCTGGGAATTATACGGTTAAAACTGTAGGTGTTCTTTCCGTTCCTAGAGAGGACTGATATAACTTCTGGGTTTCCTCTGGAAGTGACATTGCACCATTGCTGGTGTTGTTCCCCCACCCACCCCCGTCATTTTTCTCCCACTGGCTGCAGGAATGGTGGTGGGGGACAGGAGCTGGCAGCCCTGGGCCCGGAGCCGAAGCCAGGAGATTGGGGCCTACCACACTCCAGCTTCTCTGAGGTGGATGATAACACTGCACAGATCCTGGCAGGGTCAAAGACCTGGCTCTAGACCTTTGCAAGGTCAGCCTTGGCAGTTGCTGATTGCTAAACTCTCGCTCTCTAGGGCCTGCTTGCTAGTCTCCAACTTCAGCTCCTGCCTGGGTTGCTGGATCCGGCCCTGCCCGCTCCTCGCCTGCCTGCGATCCTCCAACCCTCCCGCCAACTTGCTAGGACTGGGTAGACCTAGAATGTCGAGCCTTTAGCCTCTTGCTTGGCATCTCCAGGGGGAGAATGAGAAATCTGAGGTGAAAGGGCAACACATAAGAGAACATAAGAACATAAGAGATGCCAATGTTGGATCAGGCCAAAGGCCCATCCAGTCCAACACTCTGTATCCCACAGTGGCCAGAAATACCAGTGCCATCAGGAGGTCCACCAGTGGGGCCAGGACATTAGAAGCCCTCCCACTGTTGACCCCCCCCCAAGCACCAAGATGACAGAGCATCACTTGCCCCAGAGTCCCTATCTATACCTTGTGGCTAATAGCCACTGATGGACCTCTGCTCCATATGCTTATCTAATTCCCTTTTGAAGCCGTCCATGCTTGTAGCTGCCACCACTTCCTGTGGCAGTGAATTCCAAGTGTTAATCACTCTTTGGGTGAAGAAGTACTTCCTTTTATCCGTTCTAACCCGACCGCTCAGCAATTTCATGGAGTGCCCACGGGTTCTTGTATTGTGAGAAAGGGAGAAAAGTACCTCTTTCTCTACCTGCTCTTTCCCATGCATAATCTTATAAACCTCAATCATGTCACCCCTCAGTCGTCGTTTCTCCAAGCTAAAGAGCCCTAAGCGCCTTAACCGTTCCTCATAGGGAAAGTGTTCCAACCCTTTTATCATTCGAGTTGCTCTTTTCTGGACTTTTTCCAAAGCTATAATATCCTTTTTAAGGTGTGGTGACCAGAATTGCACACAGTATTCCAGATGAGGTCGCACCATTGATTTATATAGCGGCATTATGATATTGGCTGATCTGTTTACAATACCCTTCCTAATAATCCCCAGCATAGCATTGGCCTTCTTTATTGCAGTCACACACTGTCTCGACATTTTCAGTGAGTTATCTACTACAACTCCAAGATCTCTCTCTTGATCTGTCTCTGCCAGTTCAGACCCCATCAACGTGTATTTATAGTTAGGATTTTTGGCTCCAATGTGCATCACCTTGCACTTGGCCACATTGAACCCCATTTGCCATGTTGACGCCCACTCGCCCAAAATTGACAGATCCCTTTGGAGTGCCTCACAATCCTCACTGGTTTTCATCACCCTGAACAACTTCGTATCATCCGCAAATTTAGCCACTTCACTGCTTACTCCCAACTCCAAATCATTAATGAACAAGTTAAAAAGCAGTGGACCAAGTACTGATCCTTGTGGTACTCCACTGCTTACACCCCTCCACTGGGAGAACTGCCCATTTATACTCACTCTCTGTTTTCTATTAATTAGCCAGTTTTTGATCCATAAAAGGACTTGTCCTTTTATCCCATGATTTTTGAGCTTGCTTAGGAGCCTTTGATGAGGAACTTTATCAAAAGCTTTCTGGAAGTCAAGGTAAACAATATCTATTGGATCCCCCTTGTCCACATGTTTGTTCACCCCCGTTCTGCTTGCTTGTTCACACACGTTCTGCTTGCTTGGAGAGCATTTCCAGCCAGCTCTCTCCCTCATTCGTGGGGCGCGACCAAGCTTTCCTGCCCTGACCCACCTCGTGCCAACCAGTGGCCATTCCCCGGCCACTCACAGGCCGGCTTTCCTCCCCTGACCCTTCAGCTCCCCGGCTCCATCCCTGGACCATCAGGGTCTGACACTTATGGGTCTGATGTTGTAAAGCCTGCCCGTGGGGTACGGAGGGAAGGTTCTTTCCAGGGGCAGCCATGCTGCTCTGAAGTAAAACAGCTAGATGCTACTTTTCTGCCTCTAACAGGGTCACCAACCTCCAGGTGGAGCCTGGAGATCTCCCGGAATCACAACTGTTCCCCAGACTACAGAGATCAGTTCCCCTGGATAGAACGGCTTCTTTGGAGGGTGGACTCTACGGCCCTGTACCCTGCCAAGATCCCTCCCTCCCCAAACCCCTCATTCTCCAGGCTCCAGCCCTCAATACTTCCCAACAGGGCTCTTTCTGTAGCAGGAACTCCTTTGCATATTAGGCAACACACCCAGGGCCGGCTCACTCACTAGGCGAACTAGGCGATTGCCTAGAGCGGGCTGGCCCTTAGGGGCACCAAACTGCACCCGGCCCCGTACTCTGGGAGTTTCTTGATTATTTGTGTTTTTCATTCTTCCTAAAATGCATTTATTTTTTTTAAATGGTGAGCGCACGGGGGGGGGGGGGGAGATACGATACGTGCGCGGTCCTTCTGCATCCTGCGTCCCTTCCTTGCAACACCCACCCACCCACCCACCTTCTGTCCGGGATCTAAAGGCTCAGGGCCCCCCATGGCTACTTGGGAAATTTGACTCTCGAGAGCTCATACCACCCCACCACCCCACACCCCGCAAATATCATGTTGGCCTCTGAAATACATACTGCTGGGCTCGAATCTCGAGTGAACATTTTGTGGGCCTTTGTGGTGAGAAAACAGTGGATCGTCTTAGATACTTGTGGGGTCCAGAAGTTAACGCAGTGAAGCAAAATCCCTCAGCCTCCCCAGTCTTTCTTTCAGGATAGTCTAGGACGATAATGCTAAGCGACCCTACTCCAAATCTATCTATAGGAATTTTAGCCAGAGTTGTAGCTGCACAAAAATAAAACGTCTATGCTTCCAGTTCACTTGTCCCTCGCTTCACTGCCAGAGCAAGGCAGACATTTCTCCTGCTCAGATTATGAATCGATCCATGTATGCCCCCAATCTGAGGATTACAATTGCTCGGTTTTTCTAAATTCAAGGGGACTGCCCGTTTACTGGCATGTTGCAGTTGCTTGCATAGAAGCAGACCCAGTTTTTTGTGAGGAGAATCCAGGCCTTGGGAAAGTCGTCTAGTGGACAGAACTGAATACACTTAATAGCCCCAACCAATGTTCCCTCTAAGCTGTGGAGTCTCGTGAGCAAAAATTCTACTGGCATTAAAGTTGTGAGCAAGCGATTTGGCTTCTGCAGAAATTAGTTTGCTCCAGAGCCATCCTTCTTGAGCCGAGACAAAAATGTGTGAGCCAGAGGCCAACAAACTGTGAGCTAGCTCACACTAACTCAGCTTAGAGGGAACACTACCTGTGAGCAATGCTCCCTCTAAGCTGTGGAGTCTTGTGAGCAAAAATTCTACTTTGTGAGCTACTGGCATTAAAGTTGTGAGTGAGTGATTTGGCTACTGCATAAATTAATTTGCTCCAGAGCCATCCTTCTTGAGCCAAGACAACAATGTGTGAGCCAGAGGCTAAAAAACTGTGAGCTAGCTCACACTAACTCAGCTTAGAGGGAACACTGGCCCCAACAATGCTGTCCTGCCGCTTCATTTTGGATTAGAGGACACCGCTAGTTGGAGGAACAGAGAGAGGGGCCAAGTTTCCATACAGAGGACAGGTGTTCTGTTGCACACCTGGATGAGATGAACTCAGTGGTCTGCCCATCTTTGGTTATCAGGGGGGGGGACGGGACTGCTTGCCAGTTATGCATTTCCAGACTGCCTTCGCAAACGCGGCAGCGCTCCCTGCTTCCAACGCCCGGCGCTTTCTTTCCCATCCGCTCACCTTCTGTATCCAGGTGCTCTCTTCAGCGGAGCCAACTTCGCTGCACATCTCATCTCACGGCCGTTCTGTTTACTGCGCGCACTTCCTGTAAGTCATATCCTCTGTGTGCTTTGCTTCCAACGAAGGAGGGTCCTGATCCTTCACACCGAGGGAGGCCTGCCTTTGTCCCTCCCCCCTCGATCTGCACAGACAGGTGAAACGGAGAGCGAGGAGCCCAAACTCAGTGAAACATACTTAAATATATCTCCGGGAAGGAGAGACCCGAGTGTTGAAGACGGTGGGGAAGAGGCAAACAGAAGGACTGGAATGACGGTGCAGTGTCAAGTAACAGAGCAGCACTCATCGGCTATTTTTACACGCAGCTTCGCCACTGGCAGCCCTTCAGAGATAGCCAAATGACAGGATATTGTGTTCGGTGACTGGCCGGCCCCCAGGGGTGATTCAAGCCATGAAGCCGCAGCCCTTCCACGGCCATCAGGTGGCGGGCCAAACGTTTGGGTCAAAGCCGTCGTTAAAAATCATGGTCCCAAAATGTGTCCATGAGTAACACACGATTGTCTCGCTGGCGTCATTTCAGAAATAGCGTGTTTCATCATCGGGGTGGGGGGTGGGGGAGGGGAGGCTTGGCCGGTGCGTGGTGTGTGGCATTCTGGGTGGCAGGGGTTGGCTCAGCCGCCCGTCAGAAGCCAATCAAAGAAGGCCGCCTTCTGCGTTCCCGGCGCTGTGAGTCATCTGGAAGGGCAGCTAGATACGAGCGTTAGACAAGAGGCAGGCCAGGGCACCTCGGAGAGCTTTCCTCGGGCAACGGTCAAGCGCAGCTGGAATCCTGCCTGGGAAAGGGCAGTTGCTGGCGCCGCGGAGAGCAGACTCTGTGTTTGGGACCAGGATGCAGAGAACCTCTCCGACACCCATCTGAGTTGGGCTGTAGCAAGGAGAAGAAACCCACCAGGTGCTGGCCTGGTCCTTTGTGGTGCTTGGAACACACACACACACACACACCCTCCCCAGTGGCTTCAGCCAGCACTTTAGCCCTTGTTCCCCAGGGGCAGATTTGTTCTGTGGAAGACCCATCGGCCCATCAAGACGATCTCAGCTCTCCAAAGTCTCAAGTCTCAGTCCACGAGACACATTTCCCAGCAGTCTTTGTCCCAGTTCTGGGGACAATCCGTGGATACAGATCCCTGTGGGGTTCTCCTCTCAACCCATCAGGAACACAGGCCCCGAATGGGACCCAGGAGCAGGGCTGGCTCACTCAGTAGGCGAACTAGACTTTCGCCTAGGGTGGGGCCATCATGGGGGTGCCGAACTGAGCCGCCCTTCCCCCCGCCAAAAGCCCTGCATCACGCGCCCATTGCTGCCCCCCGCCATCGCCGCCGCCTCTTTCCTGACTGAGGCGCCCCGTGCTCGCTTCCACTCTGGAGCCCCTGACCTCTCGCCACCTTGTGCGGCAGCGCCCGCCGAGGGGGAGCCTGAGCCGCATGGCGGATGTCGAAGAGGCGCGCCGGGAAGGAGGGGGTGAGCCATCAGCAGAGAGAGGGAGAGAGAATCCGGGGGGGGGGGCTTGGCATTCTCCACCAGGCAGGCGCTTCTCCTTCATGGCTGGTTTGAGGGCTGGATTTGGGATCGGGGAGGAGAGGGGTGCTGCTTTCAGTGCCACTGCCTGGCCTGGGACTGCCTCTGAGCACGTGCAGACTGCAGCACCGCCCCACCCAGCAACGAACAGCCCCCGTCCTCCTCAACCCCCCCAGCTCGGAGGAGCCGCCCAGCCGCTCCTCTCACAGCAGTCTGTCCAGGGGTGTGGTGTGTGTGTGGGTGTGGCCAACGGCTGTGTCTGGGGGGGGGGGAGCTTGCATCTGGGGGGGCCAG